TGATGTTAGATGGATCCTAGCTAAAAGCAGAAAATACCAGAAGAATGTCTATTTGTGCTTTACTGACTATGCAAAGGTATTTGACAGTGTGGATCATAACAAGTTTGCTAACATTGAAAAGAATGGAAATCCCAGAACTCTTGTGTTCATGTGAAACCTCTATCTAGACCAAGAGGTTGTTGTGCGAACAGAGCAAAGCAACACTACACTGTTTAAGAGAGAGAGAGAGTGTGTGTGTGTGTGTGTGTGTCTAGGAGAGTTCTGGTGACATAGTGGCAAGAAGCTGCACTGCAATCCCAGAAGTGAGCAGTTTGAATCCACCAGATGCTCTGCTGGAGAAGGAGGGACAATCTCTTCCTGTACCAGTCAGATCCGATTTGACAGTACACACGCGTGCACACACACACACTCACACAAACACACATTTAAAAAAAAGAAAGAAAAGAAAAAGAGTATGTCAGGGTTGTATCCTCTCTCCATACCTACCTATTCAGTCTGAATGCTGAGCAAATTATTTGAGAAGCTGGACCCTGAAGAAGAACGTGGCATGAGGATTGGAGGAAGAGTCATCAACAACTTATATTATGCAGATTACACAATCTTGTTACTGAAAGTGAGGAGGACTTGAAGCGCTTGCTGCAAAAGATAAAAGAATACAGCCTTCAATGTGAACTGCATTTCAAAGTCAAGAAAACAAAAATTGTTACTACTGTACCAACAGACAACAAACACGATAAATGGAGAAAAGATTGAAACTCTCAACAACTTCATCTTACTTTGGATCAAAAATCAACACCCTTGGTACCAGCAGCCAGGAGATCAGGAACGTATTGCAGTGGGAAAGTTAGGGGCTTCTCCAAATTATTAAACAGCAATGATATCAGTTTGAAGACTAAAGTGGGCATGATTCAGTCTCTCATCTGAGAGTTAGACAATGACTAAAGATGCCAAAAGATGCCTTTGTGTTGGAGAACAGGAGTGAAGATCCCACGGCTGGCCAAAAGATCTATCGTCTTAGAAAAAGTGCAGCCAGAGTGCTGGTTGGAGGCATAGGTGGTGAAGCTTCGTCTCTCACACTTCAGGCATGTTGTTAGTTGTTCCTTGGAGAGGGACATCATGCATGAGAAAGTGGAGGGTCAGCAAAAGAGAAGAAGACTCTCAGTGAGACGGACAGACACAGCGACTGCAGGATTGGGCACAAGTGTGTCACTGATGATGAGGATGGTACAGGATACAACAGGGTTCCTATCTGTTGTTCATGGGGTTGCTCTGGGTTGTACTCAACGCAGTGGCACCTAACAACAGCAACTGGCCTAGTGGGTAAGGAGTTTGCTGCCAACTCAAAGGCGTGTGATTGGAATCTACTAGCTGTTCCATGAGAGAAAGACGGGCAATCTTCTCCCATGCAATTTACAGCCTCTGAAAACACACAAAAGGTTCAGTTATGAGTCAAGTATGACTCCACAGCACACACCACCACACATATGTATGCATACATGCATTTACATACCCAGAGAGGGTGGTGACATGAGAAGTGGATTCAGGAGGGAACTTATCACTACTGACATTGTGGGCAGGGTAGCTCTTTACTATGGGGCTGAACTGTGCCCTGTTGGATGGTCTCTCCCCACGGGATGGCCCCAGCAGCACCCTTCTCCCACTCTGACAACCAAACATGTCTCCAAATACTGACGGGCAAAAGCGCCCGCTGCTGAGAACCACTGGGTCAGCGAGGTTCGGTGAGCGAGGGAGGAAAGGAGGGTAACTGAGAAAACACGGAGGTGAGGCAGTTCCAGCAGAAGTTTGGTTTCCTAGCCGTTTATCAGCCCAAATCTCCATTTCCAACATTCGATGCTTAAAATGAACAGAAGTCTTCCTTAAGGAAGCTGTATTTCCATTCGAGTTTATTTAAAGAGTTGAAACACATCATCAGGACTCTTCCTGTGAAAACAGTCCATCATGACATCATCTGTTAATAACACGTTTAGTTCAGTAGGCGTTGCCTCTGGGAAGTTTATCTCGGAATGAAGTAGGAGTATCTCTCAACACACAGATTAAACCAGTTTTCCAAATATTTTGAAAATAATACAAGGAACAACAGGAAAGGGTTAGCTCAAGTTAAGGCAATGTTTATTTGATTTCCTTGCAGTCATAGGATCTAAGGCATAAGTGGTGGTTATATGGCAAGGATATAGTTCCTTTTAAGGCCTATGGTTGAATTTGAGTTCAGAAATCTGTCATATTTGACCAGGGCAGGATGGAGAACTTATTTCGGGCCTAGAGTTACGGGCGCTCATTCATGATAAAAACACACTGCCGTTCTGGCCAGAATCAATCACAGTTGCAGTGGTGAGGCCTGGCCGTTTTCTGCAGTGCTCAGCAGGCCAGGGGAGTAAGAGAGAGGGGCCGGAGCAGACACCGGGCTTTCTCAGGCTGTGTTCTCAATGATGACTGCGATGCCTTGGCCCCCTCCGATGCAAGCTGATCCAACAGCGTATTTTCCACTTCGACGCCTGCAAGAGAAAGCAGTGGTTGAGAGCCCCTCACGAGGGAGGATTGACAGCTTATGAGAAAAGCAGCTGTAATGGGTGCGCTGGCGTGACTCACTGACAGCAGCTCTGCTGTCTCCCCCACATCCTCAGTTTAAAATTTGAAAAGCTGGGTGTTTTTAAAACAACAACAAAATGTACTAATGGAAAGGGAAGGGGACTAGAAGGGACTGAGGTAACCCTTAGTTTCTAAGGAGAAATGGAAACAAATAGACACATGCAGGTGTGAGGTCTCTGCTTTGCTGGGGTTGGACAGGCCCTCAGAATAGATGCAATTCGTGACATTTGTACAAGTGAAGGGCAAGTCATTTAGCAAAATTCCTTGTCCCTTTGATACAAGTTACTCCTCTAAAGCACAATCTGTTCTCACTTGCTGATAGAAAGACCTCGAGCAAACAGGCCGGGAGTGACTTCTGCACGTGTCCAGCACTCACTCCAATGCCAGGAATTCAGCCTGACTGCACAGAAAGCCAGAGGGAGTTTTCAACCGGCCGTATTTAATTTCATTTGCAGCTTTCCCACTAACAGAGCTAAAAGGCCTAAAATGCACAGGACCAGAGAGAGGGCTCGGCTGACAAGATGGGAAAGGATGAGACCCAGAAGGTTCTGCCTGGAACTCTGGGGAGATAGATCCAGGAGGAAAGCTCAGCTCAGACCTAACAGGCAGGTTACTGTGGTCTGGCCAACTACACCAGCTAGGTCAGGACCCTCTGAGGACTTAACTCTCTTAAATGAATTTCTCTTCTTCCTGGCGCTAGGACATGAGCTGTAACAGGGATAGGCCACAGCTGGGTTTTGTTTTCCGCTCACTCCTACGCCCTTACCAGGGATGGGGCAGGGGAAAGACAGACACCATCCCTCAGTGAAATAACACCGAGTGGCTGAACTGTCCACAGAGCAGATATGAGGAAGTGCACGGTCCCAGATGCTGAACCAAACACGGAGTTATCTGGAAACTGGTGCCCAAATAAGCTGTACTGGTAAGAAGAGTCGGTGTGGGGAGTAGTGGGCATGAAAATGAAAAACAATGGCTCGCTCGGGAAAAAAAAAATCTATCCATTCCCATCACTGGCAGCATTTTTTCTACACAGCAGTCTCGAGCAGGTACCTTAATTCATGAACCAGGTGAGCCATAATTTTCGATCCAGATCCTCCCAACGGGTGCCCCAGAGCGATGGCCCCTCCGTTCACGTTCGTTTTACTTGGGTCAAGACTCAAGCTTTTCTCAACCGCCAAGTACTGAGGAGCAAAAGCTTCATTCACCTTAAAAACAAAAACAATGGTCCATTTTGCTGTTTTCTCCTATGTACATGATCCTGCAAACTCATCTTTATTCTGTAGAAAAGGAAATGGTTATATTTATTGCAGCTAGCTATATTTACTGCAGCATTTTAAAAAAAAAATCAGTCCTCAGTTGGCTCCATAGAGACGGTGGGGGAGGGTGGAGTCTCCAGTGTTGGGTGTCAAATGTTTTTATGTACTGTCGAGTTGCCTGCATCTCATAGCGACCCTCCGTACAAAGCTCTGAAGCCTGCCCTGTCCTCAGCCAGTCTCATGTAGTTCAAACCTTGGCTGTATCATTCAGTGATGCATGACCTTGTGCATATTATTTAAACATTGCGGTGTGATTTATTATCTTCTTGTAGTTGTTAGATGTTGTCCAGTTGACTACAATTCATACATCTGAACTGTGCCCTTTTGTGTGCAATCCCCATGATCCACCGTGATCAAGTCCAATGCTGCAGTCACTGTCAATCCACCTTGTTACGAGTCTTCATCTCTTCACCGATCCTCTACCTCCCCCCACAGGATGCTTTGTCCCAAGGACTGGTACTTCCTGACAACATGCCCAAAGCCTAAGGTACAAAGTACGTGTATTATCTAACACACAGCAAACATACCTTAAATGGTAGCTATTGTGATTATTATCAGACATACTTTCAGGAAGAAACTGATGAACAATAAAAAATGAACCTTCAGAGTCAGATACAGAAAGGGAATAATTATTATGTTGAAACGTGGTAGAAATGAAATTATACATTGTTATACTTACCAAGGCTGAGTATAAGAAAAGCCTTCTTCCCTTTAGATTTTTATCACACTTTAAGTTTCTAATATTATGGTTTCTGATGATTTTACCCCAGGAATTTATTGGTAAGAAAGTAGATCCCAAGAAAGATAACTCTCAGAGAGTTGGGATGAAAACTCAAGTTGATTCTTGTCCTCTTTCCTAAGATGATACTTATCATTGTTGTGTTGTTGTTGTTGATTGCCGTCAAGTTGAGCACGACTCATAGCGACCCTATGAACAAAAGGCCTGAAGCTTTTCTTTAACTATCATCATTTATCAAAGTACATAGAGGTTCCAGAGGCGTGTTGTTTAGGAATTGGATGCCACTTTAGAATTAGATCCAATTAAATTTCTATCATAAATATTTGCTTTTTTATGTACTGTGGGAGCTGTGGGAGCCTAGTGACAAGAAGCTGCACGGCAATCTTGACGGCGTGTGATTTGAGGCCACCAGCTGCTCTGTCGGAGAAAGATGGGCAATCTTCTTCCGTGCAATTAACTGCATCTGAAAAACCGCTGGAGGGTCAACTGTGGGTCAGCTTTGACTCTATGGTACACAACAACAACAACAACAATGATGTACTGTTGTTGTTGTCAAGTGTTATAGAGTCTAGTACAACTCACAGCGACCCTATGAACAACAGATATAAACCCTGTCCAAGCCCATGCTTTCCTCACCATCTCTAACACATGTGGGTCCACTGCTGTGGTCACTGTGTCAGCCCATCTCATTGAAGTTCTTTCTTTCTCACACTGACCTCTCCACCTTTCCAAGCATAAGGTCTTTCTCTAAGGACCAGCTTCTCCTAACTACTGGTATCACCCTACCAATAAACTCAAGTTCCAGTGTGGAGATGATGATAGGGTACATCCCCAGTCAAACTACAACAACGGTGTAAAAGACACAGATAAGTTTGCGGAGCCCTCAATCTGGAGGAAGAAGAAGAAAACTTCTGGATTTGGCACTAAATATTATTTTTCTATCACGTATATTGAAGACTAATATGCACTTAATTCAGACTATGGTCTTTCTGTTCACTTGCTGTGCATCTGAGAGCTGGACAATGAATAAAGCTGAGAGAAGTATTGATGCCCTCAAGCTATGGTGTTGGAGAAGAGTACTGAACATCCCATGGACGGCCAAGAGAACAAACAGATATGGTGAGGAGAGAGTGCACCAGAGTGCTCTTTGAAGCCCGAAATGATGAGGCTTTGCCCCACATACTTTGGTCATGTTGCTAGGAGGGGTTATTCCTTGGAGAAGGACATGATTCCTCAAAAAGGTGGAGGGTCTTCAAAGGAGAGAAAGACCCTTGAGCAGGTGGTTTGACATGGTGACTGCTGCAATGAGCTCTAGTGGGTCAGGAGGTGTGAGGATGGTGCAGGACAGGAAAGGGTTCAGATCTGTCATTCACAGGGTCACGATGGGTCGTACTTGAACTCGACAGCAATGAACAACAACAAAAACATACATGCACTTCAATCTGTCAAGCAGGGTTAAGTTACTGATTTCTCACTCATGTTAGCTAATATTCAATTCAACCCAACAGCTGTATTTATAATCTATAATGTAATAGGGTCTTACAAGATCCTGGGGAAGATGATATGCAAATGTTTCCTGTAGTCTAGGAGTTTACAATTTAGGAGAACAGCTGTCAGGATTATTTAGACATAGGAAAAAGCACTTTAACGAAGTGGGGAGAAATAGCAATGTCAAGCACGTAATGAAGGTAATACTTCTTTAGATGCACATAACCTGGAAAGATTAGCAACCTAAAATGAAAAGAATTATCAAGTACCGAAATCCATTTATGTTATAGAAGTAGGTGGTTTATATACATCGTAAGGGCAAGCACTGACCTCCACCAAATCCATGTCCTGCAGGCTCAGTCCTGTTTTCTTCAGTGCCCCACTGATGGCAGAGACGGGACCTGTGTGGGAATGAAAATACACACCAGCCTATATTCATTTATATACCTAAATTCTCCTTCGCTAATAGGAAAGGAGGGAGGAAATACTGGCAGGCTGCTAGTAGCTACAAGTTTTGCTATCTTGACAGCACACTATTAAATGATAAAACAATAAAGAAATAAGAAAGGAGATCAAAGAGAAAAAGTATTTAACTATGCGATGAAATTGCAGTGGAGAGGCTGCCTGGGGAAACTATGTTATAATTTTAAGACTCAGTTGGTCAAAGGAGACAGCCACAGAATATGCAGGTTTGAGGAAACCTGGATTTCATACTTCATAACAAATTCCAGGGGGCCTGAGTGTCCTCCTGGCACACCACCACACACATCGCCAGTTCAGGGTGACTGTGGCTACACTTGGGAATCTCAGGCCCATTTGGACAAAAGTGGGGGGACACCCCTCAGAAACCAAGAGCAGCAACACTGCCACTTGGGCACTGCAACAGAAACATCTACAAGGCACTTCATGGAGAAGAAAACAGACAGAGAGACATTTAAGGGGAGCTCAGGTGGCCTAGTGGCAAGAAGCTGCAACTACAGTCCCAGAGGTGCACGGTTCGAATCCACCAGATGCTCTGCCGGGGAAGGAAGGGCATTCTCCTCCTGTACCAGTCAGATCTTATTTGACGGTACACTCAGACAGAGAGATATTTAGAACTTCAATGGTGAGCAGACGTAAAATCTACCCCAACCCCAAGAAACACAAACCCTTCTAAGAAGGCTACTTCTGGGATAAACTTGAGCTCCCAGAATTCTTCTCAATTGTGATTTGCATGAAAGTGTGCAGAGCAGATTGGTTCTCTATTTAACAATTCCAACATATTTTGTTTTATGACATTAATCACAATATTCATATTGTAACTACACTCTCCCCACTTCATCCTGGGGATTCTCATTTCCATTAGCCCAGGTAGGCCACCCATCTCTACCTTTTGAGTGTTTTCCCTGGGCGTATTCTGTCCTTTTGGTCTCCAGCTATTGATTGCTGTGAGGATTGAGTTCATTTCTGGTGTTTTTGTTCACTTTATAGGCTCATCTGTTTTTTTTAAAATGTTGGGTCATGGGGGTGGGGTGAGGGTGTTAGTTCCAGGTGAACACCCAGATTCCTGATGGTCACTAATGACAATTTATTCTTGCTCAAGCTCTGGTAGCCTAGTGGCAAGAAGTTGCGCTGCAATCCCAAATGCATGTGGTTCAAGGCCACCAGCTGCTCCATGGAAGAAGGATGGGCAATCTCCTGTGTGATTAACTGTCTCTGAAAACTCACAGAATGGTCAGTTATGGGTCAGTTCTGCCTCAATGGTACCCAACTCCCACCACCACCACCAAAAGGTAAAAATGTCTGTCTGGAGAAGACCAATTGCCATAAATGCCTAAGAAACACATGTGGTCAATTAGTCTGAAAAGTTTCACAAATAAACAAAGTACAATGGGAAATCAATCTTTATGAGGAAAACATATAACAATTTAATGTGCATTTATTTTACCACCTCAGTTAAAAAGCTCTTTGGAAGACAATGTATTTATTAAGACCTCCCTCTAATCCCCGGAGATTAATACTTTTCAATTTAAAGCATCAAATCTCTGTTATCAAAGGCATGAAAATAAGCAGCATAGTCAACAGTTAACTATCTGTTACAGAGCCTGGTGAGGGGCTGATCTATCTTACCGTGATGAAACACACACATACTGAGAAGCTGAGGTACTAAAGCCGCTGTCATAAAGGCAAGGACTTCATGAACAATAGCGTGAGTACTCCTCATTCAATTGGTTCTCATTAATTCAGAAATCAATCCAGTCAATTTCCAGACAATTGTAACAATAGACTTGACCATAACATGAGGGTCAGCTGTAAGTTGGTTCTAACTCCATGTCAATGACTTTGACTTTGGGTCTCTTTCTATTCACAAGATATCTTGATGTGAGTTATACTTTCAGGCACCTGAAGGCCAAAGAAAGCATATCTGAATGCCAAAGACACGACAATGGTCTGCTTTATGATACACTTACCGATACCCATGATAGAAGGATCACAGCCAGAAGCAAAATAGCCCACGACTCTTGCTAGAGGTTTGAAGTTATGTTTTTTCACAGCATCTTCACTAGCTATGATAACTGCTCCAGCACCATCAGATACTCCCTTGAAAACAGAAACAGAAGATTAACTAGAGACTAAATGAATTTAGGATTGAACTAATAAGAGTACTATTGTAGAATACTGGTAGTATATAAAAAGCAGTGGTATAATCTGGAAAATAAAATAACTGGTATTAGTAGTAGTACTTTGGTGGAACAAGAAGTTTGTTGGGGTTTGTTGCAGATGAAAATATAATTTCAGTTAAGAAAAGCAGGAAAGGAAACGCTTACAATCAGATGTGTGGAGAGGCAAGGAGAAATCTGAGAAGTTTGTTTACATGAACAAAACAAACACACAAAACTAATATGATAATTAAAATAAAAAATCAGATCCATTTCCCTGCAACATTCTAAAAAAACAGAGTAAGTATGAGCGGGTATTTGAAAAGGGCATTGAAAAAGAATAAATATGGGTCTTTCATGGTGCCCATGCCAAAAAAGGGCGGCTGTGAACTGCTGCCTCAACCTGTTACCCATGGGCTGAGAGCACGGACGAGCACTGCACATTGAGAAAAGGAGGAGGTAAAAAAAGGGGGCCTTGAGCTAAAACATTATTCATTTGGACTACAAACATCCAAATTAATGAGTATGAACACTACTGAGGGTAAGAAACAAAACGAAAGGTGCCTCCCAGCAACCAGATGAGTCTGTAGTCTTCAGTGGTTTATTCTCTCCGGAAGCAGATGTCCAGTGAGGACTTTCTTCCAAGAGGCTTCTGAGGCTGGTCCGAGTGCAGTGGAGGCCGCAACTAATTGATCACAGCCAGTTACAGATTTCTTTGTTCCAAGAGGCTTCTGAGTGAACTAGAAACTGCAACCTTTTGGTTAGCAACCAAGTGTGTTAACCATCTGTACTACCTAGGGATGCCTGTGAACACTGTAGCAGTTTAACAGAAAAAAATGTGAAAGCTACTTCCTATTTTGCCAAAGACTTGAAGCACTTGCTGCAGAAGATCAGACTACAGCCTTCAATATGGATTACATCTCAACTCCAAGAAAACAAAGTTTCTCACCAGTGGACCAACAGGCAACATCATGATAGATGGCAGCAAGTTTGAAGTTGTCAACAATTTCCTTTTACTTGGTTCCACAATCAATCCCATAGTAACAGCAGTCAAGAAATCAAAAGACATGTTGCACTGAGGAAATCTGCTATCAAGGACCACTGTCAAAAGTGCTAAAGAGCAACAGTGTCAGATGAAAGATTAAGGTACAGCTGATGCAAGCCAGGGTATTTTCAGTTGCTTGCTATGCATCTGAAAGTTGGACATCCAACATGAATGAAGAAGAACTGATACCTTCCAATTATGGTGATGGCAGGAAAATATTGAATACAAGTTCTTGCTGTGGTTGCAAGAGACCATGGTGAAATGGTAGATGGGAAGGAGCGAGAGGAGAATCCGGAGAATGTGTAGCAAGCTGAACCACAGGAATAATGGAGGAGAAATGTGCCCTTGTAGCACTGAGTGAACTGATCAGCTGAAGACAAAGCTCGAGGCGTGCCAGCAAAGCCTACAAGACTCTCCAGGTGTGGGTTTGCTGTGGGTGGTCACACACCAAAGCCAGCATCAGCCACAGCGATCAAACTCAGATCCAGTAAGCCAAAAGAAATAGATGCAACTATTCCCCCAAAACCCTGTCGATAGTTGCACTTTTTTTTTTTTTACAGAGATTTATTTGTTGTTTTGCTCTGTACTGGAAACATAAATAAAGTTTTCTATATTATTTTCAACCAGGGCTTGAGGTGTAGTTTCTTTTGTGTTTGTAGTAGTTTGTCCATCCAGGGTTTATCTCCTAATCATGGGGGGGAAAGAGCATGGTTTGGCCCTTTTCAGCAAGGAAAATTTTTAAGGTGAGTATGCTGAGGCAGAACAATTGGGTCTAAAAAAAGCTGTAAATGAGATCCAAATTCTTACGGTGCCAGGAGTGTCTTTTTCAGGCTCACAAAAGCAGTCCCCCACCACTGAACTCCATTCTCTCAGGGGGCTCTTTTAATGAAGATGAAGATAGTGAAACAGAGGAAATGCCTCCAGAAGCAAAAATGAGAATGAAGAATATTGGAAGGGGTACACCAACATCACCAAGCAACAATTCCTTCAACAAAGGAAAGCATGGGTTTTCTGAAGAAGCTGTGGCATAATTAAATGATGTTTTTTACGATTACAGTGTAGGGTGGGTATAAGGACAAAAGGAACAGTTTTCTTTTTAAAAGAATGATATAAGATTATCTTTGGAGCTGACCTTTTCCCCTTTCTTTAATTAAAAATTGGCCAACTAATAAAAGAGGGTTTGAAATTAGGGATTTCAAGACATTTGCTAGTTTTATTGATGCATGTAATTAGTTTCTACAAGTTACATATATTAAAGATATCAGAAATGATACCTTTCTTAGAATTGCCTTTTTAAACTAAAAATTGTTTTAGTCACAGCTAGTAGCACATTAAGAGGGAAGCAAAAAAGTTACAGTCTATTTAAATGGGTTCAAACTGTATGAAATTACTCTGTAACTCAACTATATCATTATTTGGCTCCCAGGCACAACCTTACAGAAAGGGAGTATTTTGTTGGGAGGAACAATGTTATTGAATTATTGACTGAAAGAAATTCAGATAAAATGAAATACAGCTTTTCTTTCTTACAGGCATTTGTTTCAAGTCAAAGTATTTTTTATATTCATGTCAGTAGACATAAATGCTGAGCTCTTTTTAAAGTAACTACTTTTTTTTACTTTTTATTTAAATGGTTGATTATTAAAATACCTCAACCACCTTTAATAGGTCTTGTCTACTTTCAGCAGTCTTCAAAGAACGACCATTTGTTACCAAAATGAATCAGTATTTTGAAAGCGCTTCTCTCAATTTTGTTACTAACTAGCTCCTTCAAGTATTCCCACCAGAACGTGAGGAAGTTGTTTCTTTTAAAATACAAAGGACCATGAAAAAAAAATTTATATGGACATACTGCTTAAATCTTTGGCTTGTTTTTTCAGAAGTGTATGGTTGCCTCAGAAGAAGTTACTATAAAGATGAGAAATGAGAAGATGCACTTTCTGTATTTTGTCAAAACATTTTAGATACAAATTGGTGAAATCTAACTTGAAATGATCTTATTATAGGAGTTCTTACTTGTAGAACATTATAAAGTATTTTAACCAATAGCTTCTCAAAAGCACAGTTAGAGAACTAAAAAGAAAAGGAAATAAAATTAATCTTCACAGTTTTTTGTTACTTCTTGACAATGCACACTTTGTTCTTGTGGGATTTGGAGTAATATTTGCCTTTTGAAAAAATGTCTGTATTTTATATGAACATTTTTTTCCCTTAATGTGACATTAAACACATCTTTTAAAAGCACAGTCAGAACCAAAATGTAATGAGTTCTTTGAAAATTCCTACAATGCTGAATTTGGAAGATACTTCGGACTATTTTATAGGTGGTGATTTAAATGCTCACTTAGCTCTTTTAAAGGGTAAGAGCTCCAGAGAAGCAGCCCGATTGTTGTTTATAAACAAATAACAATAACTTGGTTCACTTGCATTTAAGTTTAGAATAAGCTCTAAGTAAAACAATGGAAAGTTATTACAGAATTACTTGTTCTTATATTATTTAATTATATCAAGATACATGAATTGTCTTAACTTCCTTTACAGGAAGCTCTGGTGGCCTAATGGTAAAACGCCGCACTACAATCCCAAAGGCAGGAGGTAGTTCAAATCCACCAAGTGCTTCATGGGAGAAGCCCAGGTAATTTCCTCCTGTGCAATTCATTGCCCCTGAAAACCTGCGGGAGGGTCAACTATGGGTTGGTTCTGATTTAATGGCACTCAACGGCTTCCTTTAATGTAGGCAAACTTTTCATATATGTTCATACGGTTTATGTTAAAACAATAATTATTTCCTTATCTATATATTCTTTTCTTCATCTGAATGAATACATATAGTCAAGATGTTGTTTTTGTTGTTTGTTGTTATGTGCCGTCGAGTCACTGGCGACTCATAGCGACCCTATGTACAACAGCCCTAACTCTGCTCTGTCCTGTGTCAATAGCACTGTCTCTGACACACCCATCCTGATTACCCCAGTCATTGAATCAATCCACCTCATAGAGGGTCTTCCCCTGCTGCGCTGTCCCCCCACCCTCCCAAGTATGATGTCCCTCCTTACAACATGTCCAAAGTATGTCAGACAAAGCCCCAGAATCCTTGCCTCTAAGGAGCAGCCTGGTTTTACCCTCTCCAGGATGAATCTGTTTTTGTTTTCTTAGCAGTCCATGGTACCCTCAATACTCTTCTCCAACACGTCTTTAATAAAATACTAATAAACTGTCAAACACAATAGGTTGTTGTGTTTTGGTGGCTTTTGTGTGTGTGTGTGTATTTTAGTTTTTTTGTTGTTAAAAATAAAACACCCCCCCCCCCCCATGGACTGCCAAGAGAACACAACACAAGGCTGTCCTGGAGGAAATATAAGCAATTCATTCATTAGAGGAAGGATGGTGAAACCCCCCCTCATGTTCTTTGGGCTTCTTGTCAGGAAGCCAGGGTCCCTGGAGAAAGACGTCATTCTGGGAAAGGTGAGAGAAAGAGCGGCAGACTCTCAACAAGAGAGACTGACATGCTGATTGTAACCATGGAGCAAAGCATGTACCATGGCACTCGATAGGGCAGGGTTCCGACCTAGTCACGGGACTGCCATGACTCACATCAGACTCAAAAACACCACCACCAGTGAGAGTTCGAGAGGGGCACAGAGCAACACCGCCACTGGTGGGAGTTCAAGACAACCCAGGTGTCACCTACCGACGCGTTCCCGGCCGTGACTGTGCCTTCCTTCTTGAACACAGGAGGAAGCTTACTCAACTGGTCCAGCGTTGCCTGGGGGCGGGCGTGTTCATCCAACTGCATCATCTGCTTCCCTTTCTTGGTCTTCACCTCAATTGGTGCCATCTCGTTATTGAAGTAGCCAGCATCATAAGCTGCAACATTAGAAACCGCAGGATGACCATCACAGGAAGAGAAAGAGAAAAGACAAGACAGCGAGGGAAAGAGTAAGCCAATAACCTTCTTTAATCGGAGGAAAATGAGGAATGGGGCATCTTCGCTGAGTGACGAAAACGTTCAAAGATCCTCCAAATTAACTCCCATCATTATCAGTGTCTGCTTAGGTTTTAGGAGTGCTGGTGGTACTGTGGTTAAGGCGTTCAGCTGCAGCCATATAGTCAATACTGAACTCCCCCCTGCTCCTGAAAACGAAGACGAGGCAGTCTGCTCTCCTAGATTACAGTCGTGGGGCCCCGTGGGCAGTGCTCCTCTCTCCTACAGGGTTGCTATGACTTGGAATTGACTCTGTCAGTGCAGAGTGGTCAGGAACCTAGGTGTCAAGGAAGAGGCTGGAGATTCAAAGCTACAAGAGAACATGTGGCAGCACGCTCCGCCGAGACTTATGGCCTCGGAGACTCTCTGGGGAAACCCCACTCAGCTATGACCCAGAATTACTCAGCAGCAGTGGATTTTCACTTAAATTTGTGAATTTGTTTTTTGGGGGTTTTTTTGTAACTTTTATTTTATTATTTTGTGTGTGTACCATCAAATCGGATCTGACTGGTGCAGGAGGAGATTGCCCGTCTTTCTCCGGCAGAGCATCTGGTGGATTTGAACCGTTTGCCTCTGGGATTGCAGTGCAGCTTCTTGCCACTAGGCCATGAGAGCTCCCTAAATTCAAACTTGTTTTAAAAAAAAGATACTCAAAGGGAGCTCTGGTGGCCTAGTGGCAAGAAGCTGCACTGCAACCCCAGAGGTACCAGGTTTGAATCCACCAGGTGCTCTGCTGGAGAAGGAGGGGCAGTCTCCTCCTGTACCAATCAGATCCGATTTGACGGTACACACAAAAAATAATAAAAAAATAAAATTAAAAAAAAAAGGATAGTTAATTTTCCAATAACTAAGAGAAAAATCTGATCAGGTAAAAACAAAGGAATGAAGAAAAAAACGCAGCTGTCAAAGGTCTGGTTTATAACTGATATTTAACCGCTGGAGGCTCCCACCCTGACATTTCCATGATGCGGTCACACTCACCAGCTTTCCACCTTTGCTGGGACTGCAGAGCATACTTGTCACATTCTTCTCTGCTTATTTTATGTTTCTCGGCCAGGTTCTCAGCAGTGATTCCCATGGGGAGTTTGATGTGCTGATCTGTGAGCCCTGCCCACAATGTATCTTCCAGCTAATAAAAGACAGTAGCAAAGGGGATTGGTTAAGGCCTATCTTTTGAAAGTGTTGTTTGTTGTTCATGTGTCTTTGTGACTCATAGCGACCCTCTGTACAACAGCTCTGAATCCTGCTCTGTCTTGAGCCAAACTCACCGTCTCTGACTGTCTCTGTCTATAATCCCTGGTTGTTGTGAACTGTCGAGTCAGAACTGACCCATAGCTGGCCCTCCAGTGCGTGTTCAGAGGCAGTTAATCGCACGGGAGGAGACCACCCATCCTTCTCCCGTGGAGCAGCTGGTGGATTCGAACAGCGTGGCTTTGGGATTGCAGCTCCGGGACTGCAGTGCAGCTTCTTTCCACTAGGCCTCCCGAGCTCTCTTAACATTTAAATAATTAACAATTCCAATAAACAAAAATAAAATTAGACTTTCTGATAAGCACTTACTACTACTATTTCTCTCTAACTGAATATTTTTCTTTCCTTAAACCATGTAATGGGTCACTACAACCCAGAATTAACTCAGTAGCAGTGGACTTTGACTTAGACTTGCCCAGGTGCTTCGTTGTGAACTTGTGTGTTTTTTTTTTAATTTTATTATTTTGTGTGTGTGTACCGTCAATTTGGATCTGACTGGTATAGGAGGAGATTGCCCTTTGGACAAGAACAAACTGGGAGGAGGGTAGAGAGAATAGTGCAACAATGAATGAGTGGAAGCCCAAAATCTCTGTAAATGTTTATGAAAATTAATAAAATATAATTATAGAAAAAAAAAAAAAGGAGGAGATTGCCCGTCTTTCTCCTGCGTAAGTAACATGCACATATTCTCTGCTCTCTATCCATGTGTGGTTTTAAGGAGAGCCAATAATGCTAAACGGGCAGTCTTTTAAGAAATCTTTTTAAAATGAAACTATTTCGAAAGTAGAAATATTTGTTTAGGGATGTCATCTACTTGGGACACTGAGGAATGAATGCTGGAAATTATACTACAATAAAAAAAATGCACACACATCCAGTTCTATTTTCTTAGAAATCCTACATCACTCTCCTCTCAAGAGGTTTTTTCATTGTTGTTGTTAAGTGCCACCAAGTCATTTACAACTCTTAACAACCCTATGAACAACGGTTGGTTCTGAAGCCAGTTCTATCCTATGCCATCGTTACATTTCCTGACACGCCCAAGCCCACTGCTGCAGTCACTGGGTCAGTCCACCTGGTTGAGGGTCTTCCTCTCTTTTGCTAACTTTCTACCTTTCTAAGCATGATGTCTTTTTCCAAGAACAGCCTCTCTTAACAACATACCCAAAGTACGCGAGATGAAGCTTCATTATCTTTGTCCCCAAAGAGCATCTGGCTGCACTTTCTCCAAAACCTATCTGTTCTTTTGGCCGTCCATGGGATGTTCAGCGCTCTTCTCCAACAACACAGTTTAGAGGCATCAATTCTTCTGTTACCTTTACTCACTGTCCAGCTTCCAGATGCACAGCAAGTGACTGAAAAGACCACGGCCCTGAGACATGCACACCTTAGTCCTCAAACTGATGTCACTGCTCCTCAATAATCTGAAGAGGTTCCTGACTGCACACTTTCCCGGTGCAAAAGGTCTCCCTCATCTCCTCACTGCTGTTACTAGGAGTGATTGCTGTATTACACTGATTTCTTAAACAGAATCACCCTTACATTCCTGAGGTCAACGCCACTTTGGCCAGGCATCTAATTCTTTTTCTATGCTCTAGGGTTTGACTTGTGAGTACTTTGTTGAGGATTTGTTCATCTATATTTGTAAGAGAAATTCTACTGCAGTTTTATTTCCTTGTGAAGTCTTTATCTGGCTTCAGAAGCAAGGTAATGGTGGCCTCACTGAGTGAATTAAGAAGTGTTTCTTTTTCTTCTACATTTTAAAGAGTTTGAGAAGAATTAGTGTTAATAGAATTCATCAGTGAAAGGGGAGCTCTGGTGGCCTAGTGGCAAGAAGCTGCAACTACAATCCCAGAGGTGCACGGTTCGAATCCACCAGATGCTCTGCCGGGGAAGGAGGG